CCTCTTGTCTCATGTGCATTGTGTTGACTTTAACTTCCCTTGTCATGTTATTCCTGGTTCGCTCCCGCTGTGTTTTCCGCCCGTTTCCTCCTCCCTCGTTATGTGTGTGTATATATTGTCTTAGTCTTCCTTTGTTTTGTTGTCCCTTGTCTCACCTTTGTAACTTCCTAATTAGCAATTTTCTAGTATCTCCCCAGTTTAAGTTCTTTTACATTTTTATGTAGGGAAGTCCATAAATAAAGCTGTATTATGAGATCAGTGCTGCTTCTGAGTCCTACAAAGTAACAAAATGTTTGAACTTGGAAAAGTAATTTTGAATTTGATGGCAGCAACAGATCTCAAAAATGTTTGGGACAGGGTTGTGTTTCTTTTAACAACAGGTCATAAGGTCTAGAAACTATGAAGGCTAGCTGATGGGCTTTTGGTAGAGAAATGTTGCACCTCACACTATAGAAGTGCAGGCTTTTGAATTGAGTGCTGATAACATGCCAAATGGTCCCAATCCTTTTTAGTCTAGAGTAGGGGTCCCCAATCCCAGTCCACGAGGGCCGGTGTCCCTGCAGGTTTTATTTTTATTTTTTTTTGCCTGTCCCATTTGGTTCTTTAGCCATCAGAATTGTTGTCTGAAGACCAACAAGGATACCCAATGGATTTACTTTGCCAAATGGATCATCATCGCATTGCCGTATTGGTCCACTTGATCGACCTTTGTTTTTATTATTTATTTTATTTTATTTTCAGTTGTTACAGACGGGACAGACATGAGTGAGGGATAGGAAAGGGAGAAAGAAAGAGGAAGGAAAAGAAAAACAGAAGGGGAGAGGGACAGTGAGAAAGGGGAAAAAAAATCTCCTGGATCACCTGTTGAGAGAAAAAGAATAGAAAACAAGCAAAAAAAAAACCCAAAGCAACATACTAAACACAACACCATCGCATTAATCTAGCTAAGTGTAAACAGCAGTACTACTAATACTAAATATTGAATGTTGTTGTGCAGCACGCAGGACAGACAGCACACAATGTGCTTTGAAGTAGCAGCCAAGAAAGGTGTAGTTTATGTCTACGAGCAGTGAACACCCGTGTGCACACCTGTGTGGATCAGCACGCTTGTATTCAAATGGTTTCCACATGTAATGGTCTGCAAGAGGATGTAGAGAGCCATAGCCCAGTCCCCCAGGGCATGAAGCAGGCATGGAGGAGATCCAGGCCCCAGACATCCAGAGGTCCCAGAGTGCGAGAGCCCAAGGAGGACCACCGGAGGGGCATCCGTGCCACCCTCATGGGAAGGGCTGGGGATCCCCAGACGAGGCGTAACCCAGTAGCCACCGAGGAGAAGCTAGAGGGGGCTGCACCGGCGTGCCCGCCGGCTCTACCGGCAGCCAGCTGTGCCAGAATGGACCGAGCCGCAGGCCCAGAGGCCCGAGGGCCCCCCGCACCCCGGAAGAGGCCTGACCGAGCAACAGGCGCCAGGCCCCACCAAGTAGCCACCGGGAGTGAGCTGGTACATACCTGAGCGCCCAGCCCCGGACACCCTGCAGGTTTTAGATCTCACCCTGGGTCAACACCATTTTTGGATGCATGGTGTTGATAGGCAATGGTTTTTGGAAGCGTTCCTAAGCCAGTGCGGTAATTTCCATGACAGAATCATACTTGTGTTAGTGCATTTCCACCCGAAGACTTGAAGCTTTCAGGCTTCCAAGATTGATTTTTGGCCTTTATCCTTGCGCGCAGAGATTTCTCCAGGTTCTCTAAACCTTTTAATATATTACATACTATTCATGACAAAATACTCAAAGCCGTCACATTTTTACACTGTGGATCATTATTCTGTAATTGTTCCACTACCTGTGGATGCAGTCTTTTGTGGACTGGTGAATCTCTGCCTCTCTAAGATGCCCTTTTTATAACCAGAACCAAAATATTCCCGCAGGCGTTTCTTTTTATTACCACCTACTTTTGCAGTCTTTTGTTACCACATAACGCATTTCTGGGATGTTTTACATACATTAAATTCAAAATAAGCCCATATTTTTCATGAAATAATTAAATATTTGATATATTTTATGATCTGTTGTCAATTTAAAACGGGTTGTGAGAGATTAGCAAATCATTGCAGAATGCTTTTTTTTACAATTTGCACAGCCTCCCAACTTTTTTGGAATTTGGTTAGTAGTTCCTGAAAACCCCCTTTTGTTTGATCATCTCTTAATAAATCTAATTACACTATATCTACTTCCTTCTCTAATATATATCTAATATCAACCAACGATTTCTTTTCAGCAATGTAGCCAGGCTGCTAAGAGTCAGAGCTCTCTTGAACCAAGTATTACTTTAATAGTAATGACTTAAAATTACTTAGGTTAATGACCTCCAGGATACAAAGTATTGAATAATCAGGCCCCACCATATGTTAAAGACCTCATAACGCCATATTATCCAAACAGAGTACAGACTACAGGCTTACTTATGGTTCTTTGTGTCTGGCAGAGGCAGACTGTATGTATTGTGAAGAGTGGACCCAAAATGCAGACGCGAAGGAACTTGGACCAAAGCTTGAGTATTAACAAAAACCAAGCCGTTTAATATGGCTGGTAAAAAAGGTACAAACAAAGGGCAAGGCATACTGAAGTAAAACTAACATTAACCTAAACTGGGAGAACTAAACAAACAAACAAACAAACAAACAAACAAACAAACAAACAACAAGAAAAACCTAGACATGAACCATGGCGTGGACAACAGATGACCTGACCAGGAATGAACAGAAACACACAGACTAAATACACACAAGGGTGATTAGGGGAAGTGGAAACACATGGGGAAACAGCTGACACTAGTCTGACATAACAAAACAAAGGAAGCAAAGCTGACTACACTGACATAGGACACAGACCTTCAAAATAAAACAGAAAACATGAGACAATATAACCTTGACAACATAAGACACGGAGCATGAAACACATAAAGGGCAAAAGGAGACTAAAAGAAACTAAACAACCAAATAAACAATCTGGAACACTCAGTCCAAACACAAGTGCATAGGAGTTCAAGAACATAATTCAGGAGGGCGACCCAGATCTCGGTAGAACAGGAGTTCATGGCGAAGCTGTTCAGGTGGCTGACCAGGGGGTCGAGGGCACAACAGTCCGTAGTTGAAAAGTTCAGGGGGCCGACCCGGAGGCTGACAGCACAGGAGTTCATGGCGACGGAGCAGATCAGGGGGCCAGCCACGTGGCGGTGGTGAAGCGGGCATGGCTGACCACACTTGGATGACTTGGCAGGCGGCTGGCGGCATGGACGAGACCTGTCAGGTGGCTCAGTCAAAGTCCAGACAGAAATGCTGTGGTGTGACCTTAAGAGAGCTATGTGTAAATGAATAGTCCGTCATAAAGAAGAGTGGGGTAAAATTCCAGTGCCTTTATTTTACACCATATCACAACTGCTGACAAACACAGAATCCAGTATAAGGTGCTGAAAAGCCAAAATGTAATGGGGTTGTGTAGCAAGAAATGCTACACAATGTAGGAAGAAATGCCTTCTATTAACTATGAGCAAATGTTATGCAGTCAGTGAATTAAGTGATTGTAAAAAGAAACCGATCTTTCAAAATACACAAAGAACTATATCAGATTCAGTGCGTCTGTGTAGGTTCTCAGTCGTCCAGGTCATGGTAGGTCTGGCTAGGTCAGCTATATTCCACACATGTAAAGAAAGCTCTTGAAACATGTGGTTATCTCAACTGGGCCTTCATTAAATCATCAAAAATGTACAGAAGAGAAGGGCAGACACCAACTAGGGACAAACAGAAAGACAGCTGGACAGCAATATTGTTTACCCTTGTGTAGCAGGTTTGTCAGAGAAACTTGGAAGAATTTTCTCCAAACTCCCAAACACAAGGTAAACAACATAGTGTATGCTGGGCAGTGCAGTGAGGCGTGTTCATACCTCAGTATTAGAGAAACCAAACTGCAAAAAAAAAAAACCCCACAAACACATGGGCCCAAGACTCTTCTCTAAGCCTGCACTTAAAGGACAATGGGCAGTCTTTTGAGGACGCAAATGTTGACATTTTGGACCGAGATGACAGATTGTTCGAGAGAAGAGTGAAGACACCCATCTACATCCCCTGTAAACGACCATCGTTGACCCCATTACCAGAACATATTCTTGAGATCCCTTCCCAGGCTCTTAAACCCCCTTCCACACTCAGCCTTGACTCAGGTGACTTCAGTAGCTCACATGGGTTGAGCCAAGATCACACAGTGATTTCACCCATAACCCCGGGTGACAGTGAAGATTTCACCCTTTTTTCACACCTTGATGATGTGATTACTCACATGATCAATAACTGGTTAATGACCATATCCATGAAACACAACACTCACTAAGGTTTAAATAACCGGGACTCTCCACCTTTTGTTAGTAAAACAAATTAATCAATGAAAGATGAAACGTCTTCACAAACCTAAAGAACTGCAATTACCTTTTTAAGCTCTCCATATCAGGTTTTTCAATTTGTTTTTTGCTCCTTAGATGCTAAAGTAATAGTAAACTATCATCTGAACACTGGCCAATTTTCTCATTTTATTATGTTTTTGTTCTTGCATTGAGCTATAAACTGAATACACTGTGTACTTTATCCTTGATCCTGAACAGTAAGTGGCCCAGCTTTCTACTGATTCTTTTTTTTTTTGTCCTTTTCTCTTTATTATATTTATCTCTATTTTTCCAGTCTTATGATGCTCTTTTATCCATGTGTACCAGTTTCTCTTATTCCACTGGGCTCAGTGTTTACCTTATGAATCATTGTTAGCCTCCTCTATAGCCTTACGCAATGCACATTCAATGCCTGTCGCCAAATTTAGCAGCAAACGGCGCATCATGACGTCAAAGCCCTCTGCAATAATCCCACCCAGCCATCAAACATTTCGCGCGAAAATGGCTGGAAGTGGTCACGAGAGTGTGATGACGTTATAACTGAAAATAGGCGGTCTTTTGAAACTGCCGCTTCCTATTTGGCAGCGTGAGGTGACGTGCTGTATTAAAAAGCCTTAACGCCACGCTTGATTGGACGCTGCGGTTAGAGGTACCTCCCGCCCCTCCCAGCAGCGGCAGCTCGTTCGGCTTTCCTGCGCCAGCGGCGGTGTGTCACCGAGGCTGGGCTGCTGCCGGAGAGATCCGGACTCAGAATATACCCAACCATTTAACGCAACCTGGCAAACGGGGCTAAGAGGCGGGTTTTGAACCTGAATACAGTTTAGGCTGGACCCTACGCTTCTTCTTGTCGCCTCCGCCCGTCCTCCTGATGTCGGATTTCAAGCTCGGGATCGTACGGCTCGGCCGTGTGGCCGGGAAGGTGAGCTGGATCCCAGGACTGCCATGTGCGGCCGGGGGAGGGCCCGCGGGGAAGAGAAAAGTCACCAGAAAAGATATAGTTAGCGATGCTCAATCAGCTCTAGCCAACAGAGTTGATTATTATGAAGCAGTCGCAAATGCGGGAGTAGTTCGGCTTTACCGATTTAAAGGCGTTTGAGCGGATTAGAAAAGCCGGCCGTGCCGAGCCAGACTGGTTTCTCAAACTCCGCCGCTAACGCTAATTAGCATGTAGCGCGTTACGCTAGCCGCTGGCTAACATTTAACGACCAAACAGCGCCAGAAACGTAAACACGTGCTCAGTTTTTGTCACAGCCGCTGTCGGTGGACTGGAAACCCCTCGGCGGTCGTGTCATACCCAAACACTCGGCGGTGCAGTTAGCAGAGCCACGCTAGCCATGTTACTAGGATTACCCTCAAGTGTCGGTTAATGAGGAAGCCATTGCCATCAACTGATTCTTTTGTGCAGTGTGACAAAGCACCGGTAGGACGACACTGCCCAACATCTGTGCCTGTGTCGGCTTTGGCTTTAATCGTACTAATTAACGCTTGAAGCAGAAACTGTGGCGAGCGGTGGGTCAGAAAGCGCTCCCAGCTGCTAACGCTGAAGTCACGGGACACACTGGGAATAAACCGTATTTGAACCGTGAGCAGCCGGTTGCCCACCTGCTGAGTGGCAGGGCTCCGGTCACTCCGCTGTAAACATGATGTCACTCGTGGAAACGCCACACACATGCAATCATAGAAAGAAGAAAGTGTCACACAGGTTTCATCTGCTTCATGTTGTGTTGCTGGAGAAGAGCTCAGGTGTCTGTGAGACAGCTGGGACTGCTTCAGAAACGTGTTGCTGCTGTGGTCAGTGTAAAAAGTTTGGAAGGTTGAAACTTGTCCTAGAAGTAGTGCCCCCGTTTATGACTCTGCTAGTGCTAATTCACAAACAATAAAGCTCCCCTGAGAGTGGGGATGCTGTTGTTGTAGGTTTAAACATGAAAATGAACCTGAATTTTCTTATTTCAGACAAAGTACACGCTGATCGATGAGCAGGACATACCACTGGTGGAGAACTATGCCTTTGAGGTAAGCGTGTTTGATTTTTCACTACTGCTCTGATATCCGGATACAGTTGAGAAAAAATATAGAGCAGTGTTTTTCTGTTTCCAGGCACGCATGGAAGTAGATGCAGATGGCAATGGAGCTAAGATCTTTGCTTATGCTTTTGACGTCGGCAAAGGACGCTGGGCAGGAAGGCCGCTGCACGAGCTGCTCTGGTAAGTCTGTTTAAACTGTGTCAAGGTGTTGTTTTTTTTTTGGTTTTTTTTTTTGTTGTTATTTTCTTCTGTGACTGCATACCGTAGTCGTTTGCACACTGCTTTAACAAGCGACAGGTCTCAGGTTTGCAAGCTTGTGGACTTGCATCTGGGATTTAAAAATAGACAACCTGCCAAATCAAACATGTGGAACTGCCTGCTGGAAATGGCTTCTTCTGTGGTTTATCCTCTGCTGGAAAATCTGTGAGCATGCTTCTTGTGAAAGCACCCTCCATTGTAAGGCTCATCTTAGTTTAATCAGTGTTAAAGTTGTCAGATAAGATAAGTGGGTGCTCATGAGAATTGCTTCAGCTTAACAAAAGTAGGGGAAGGGGCTAAAATGGCAAAAAGAATTCTCTCGGCGCAGCGACACAGGTGTCACTTAAACCATCAACTGTTTAGCGAGCTAGCTTTTCAGTTTCATCACTAGTCGTGAGAAATAGAGGTTGTATAGTAAACTAGTGCATGCTCAAGCTCTGTAGTGGACTTGGCTTTCAATGACACTTCATATTGGATAAGAAGTGTTCTGAGCTAGCATCAGCTCCTTACTGAGGAGTCCTTGGAATAAACACTCTTCTTATCCAAGGTCAGATTTTTGTCCTGCTGGTTGCAGACTGGCTAACTTTTAATGTCTTTACCCAGGGAGAAGCACAGAGGAGGCATCGCCCCTAGTTTTCAAGTTATCCACATCAACTCTGTGACGGTGGACAACCGACTAGACAACCTTCGACTGGTTCCAGTAGGATGGAGCCCTAAACCAGAGGAGATTTCCAGCAAGCAGAGGTAAAACATTGCTTATAGGTACATGTGAAAATGCTAGAAAGGACACACTGCTGTTGAGGGGAAATGAGTCTTAAATCCTTTTGTGATTTATTCCAGGGTTATCCAAACAAGTAATGCATGCCGAACATTTCTCATGTTATCTGTACAGAGAGCAGTCCCTCTACTGGCTGGCTATCCAGCAGGTACCAGCCGACCCTGTGGAAGAGCAATATCTGGAGCTGAGTCGCACACGTTACTACAACGCAAATGGGGAGCTGGTGGAGGAAGAGGAGTGTTCTTGCACCTACTACGAGTGTCACTACCCTCCTTGCTCGCTCATTGAGAGGAGGGTATGTATTCCAACTCGTGTAGCAAAGCATTCCCATTCGAAAGCTCCGTGCTCTCAGAGCCAAAGATGATCTTCTTCCTTGTCTTTCCACAGCTGCGGGAGTTCAACATATGCGGCCGCTGCCAGGTGGCGCGCTACTGCGGGTCCCAGTGCCAGCAGAGGGACTGGCCGGCCCACAAGAAACAGTGTCGCGAGCGTAAGCGGGCGCTGGCCCTGGAGTCTGAGCCAGAGCGGTGATCCGTCTTCATCCTTGCTTGGAAGGGGAGGAGGAGGATGACCATCGGGGAGGGAATGGGGTTACACTTGGGAGGGGGAGTGGGGATTAAGTGCGGGGTGGGGGGGGGGCTTCCTGAGAAGAGACAATGTTGATTGGTTGAGTGATTGAAGGAGTTCAGGACTGAGAAGACGAGGGCACGGAGAGTAACGCAAAAAGACATCTGCCACTTCCCAGGACTGGTAATTCTCCATAGCTTGCTTTTCATGTGGATGACAGGGATGGGATTTTTTTTTTTTTTTCGGTTTGTTGGTTTTTGTTGTTTTTTGGGGGGGGGGGGGAGTCTTTGTTTTCTCTCGAGGGAGAACCTCGGGCACTACCTGCTGCTACGGTTTTGTATGTAAGGAGGAGAAAGTCATCTTGTTGATGAACTGAACAAGCTTCTCCGGACCACAGTCGGAATACAGACCGCCGTCATCCCATTGGGTGTCACTTCGTCTGTCCAAACAGGGGACTTGGGGGCTGCAGCATCTGTCATTCAGCTGGTACAATGGGACATGGACCTTTTCACTGTATCGCTCCCTTTTCTGACCTCTCTCGTGCACACGGCTGCTGCGCTCACAGTCATCGACACTTTAGCTGCCATCGCCGCGGCCTCCCTGTCTGTATTCCCCACACAGCAAACCACGACACAGATTATCAGAGATTTCACAGAGTCCCACTACCAGTATTGTGTGTGTGAGTGAGCGCCTGTGCTGCCAACATGTACAAAAAAGGACTTTGAGGTGGTCACCATTGCTAATGAGTCGAGGTTAACGGACATCTTTGCTCTACTTAAAGGGGGCCATATTACTTAATTTAAAAATGTCCTATTTAATTATAAATTGGTGGTCTGACAGTAAGATCATTGTTCTGTAATAAAGTAGCTGCCAAATAAAGGCGTCACTTTTTTATTTTTTATATATATAATTTTAATGGTTAAAGACTTCAGTTTGTGCTGGAAGTAGGGTGTGTGTGTGTGTGTGTGTGTGGGTTTTTTTTTTTTTTTTTTTTTTTTTTTTTTAAAAATTTCCAGTTAACATTTAAAAAAAAAAAAAGTGGTTTCTATGGAAGCTTGTTTCTGCAACTGTTAAAAAAAAAATTAAATAAATACATTTGGGGTGGAAACAAACAAAACTAAAACATTTTTAAATTTATTGCATTTATGTTGAAATTTTGACTTATGAACTCAGTCTTCTGAGAAAGTAACTGGCGTTTTTGTTTGTTTGTTTTTTCTACTTTGGCAGAAACCAGCTTCAGTACGACCAGTGTTGTTGATGCTCTTACACACAATTTGTCCCAGTAAAAGTGAGCACTGATGGCGTAATATAAAAGCAATTTATTATTTGATGTTCAATAGCTTAACCTGTAAGAATGATCTTTACCAAAGTCTTCTCTGACCTTCCGTAGCTTACCACTCCTGTCAGCTGGTATAAATCCCTCTTGGGCTCAGTTTGCTGGGTTTTTTTGGGGGGAGGGGGTTGTTTCTTCCGAACAGACACCTGCCTTTTCAAACTGTATTTTTACATCTCCAGGGTTACGCTGAATGTGTGCATTGATTGGCGAGGAGGAGCTAGTGCTCAGTTTCTCGCATGTGTTTGTAAGGGTTTTTTTTTTTTTTTTTTTTTTTTTTTTTTTTGAAGAAAATGTTATCTATGGAGCTATATTTATTTTTAAAAAATGATTGTGAACCTTTCTTTTGTCCTGGTGATATTTGAAGGCGTAAGTCATCGTTATAAAAAGTGCTCATTGTGGGACCTTTTTTTTTTTTGTTGTATATCTGTGAGGTGATGAGGTTAGATGGGCTGAAACATTTCATCGCTGTTACTTGATTTATTTTACTTTCCTGATTCTAGATGGATGATTGAATGATTGAGTTCTGGCTGATGCCTTCCCAGTGGTTTTTGTTTTTTTTGTAAATCCCATGAGAACACTGCACACAGTCATGTGACAAAAAAACAATCTTCCACGTGAGAGGTGTCTTGGAGTGTAAAACTTGAATCCCTCCCACGGCCCTCTTTTTGACTTTTATTTTGGAAAGTGGTTTGATGAACTGAACCATTTCCTGCTCTGGAGCTTTTTTTTTTTTTTTTTTATAGACATGGTGGTCCTTGTCGACTTTATCCACAAATCACCTGCCTTCCTTGTGTTACCTACAATGCACACCTGCTTAATGTGTCCTCTTGTTTCTTAGGTGAGAATTCCCAACACTTAATAAGCATGTGTATATGTGATTTATTTGCTTTCCTTGTGTGCGCGCGTGTGTGAATGTGAAAGTTTTTGAACACTGCACTAAAATTTGGCTCTCGTGTTGGCATACCTGTCGTAGATGAGGTGAGGGGTGTGGTGTGGATTTGGACAGAGTGTACAGATTGTGTCTAAAATAAATTTTTATTATTATTATTTTTTTTTTGGGTAAAAATATACGCATTAATCACCTAGAAATAAAGAGCTACAATATGTGAATGGAAGTACAACTGGGATAACCGACAGTTGCTTTTCCAATGTTAAATGATAATAAATAAAAATGAACCTCATTTGGTGGAGTTTGGTTTGATGTGCATACAGGGGCCACATACAGTGAGAGCAGGGAGCAGGTAGAGGTATGCACTGCAGAGATCGATGATAAAAGCGAGACAAGGTGAATGAGAGGGAAGGTGGACAGGTTTAAATACCTGGGGTTGACCATCCAACGCAATGGACAGGGCGCAAGAAGGGAGTGCAGGCAGGGTGGAGTGGTTGGAGATGAGTGTCAGAGGGTTATTTGTGAAAGAGGTTTAGAGGACCATAATGAGACCTGCTGTGATAACAAACAGGAGGCTGCGGTGCAGATGCTCAGTCTTTCTCTGGGAGTTAGCAGGATTACAAATGAGTACATTAGATGGACAGCTCAGCTCGAGTGGGTTTGGACATGGTTTAGGTGCAGAGGAGGGATAGTGTTTTAAGGCAGGAGGAAAAGAAGATCACAGAGGTGATGGAGGCAGATGATCCGCTGTGGTGACTCCTGAACGGAGCAGTTGAAAAAAGAAGTCTGCTGATTCCTAAAGTGTCTTGACTATCTGAACTCTTGGTATCACAAAGAAATGCCTCCAAGTACTAGAATAATTCATTAATTGAGTGGAGGGGATTCATCTGTATAACTTTGTCATGCTCCGATCAAAAATATCTACAATCACCAGTTCGCACCCGAGTTATACTTACAAATGTGCTGTCTTTCTGCTGCCTCAAAACCATACATCATTGCAGGTGTGAGCATCATAGTCCACAGAAACTCCTGCCTGACCTCATCTGTCAACCTGTCCATCACCATCACAAACGAAAATGAACTCAAAGTCAATACGTGATGTAATCCACCTCCCCATCTTAAACCTGTGTCAATCCTACTGCACTCCTCACCGCAGTCTCACCACCCTCACTCCAGACTTCCTCATACAGTACCACAGTTCCTCTCTTGGCACCAGCCATACTGCTGCTCATCACTTCTCTTCATAACTGAGCATAACAACTCTTTCACAACTCTTTTAGATATTACAGTGCTGCACATCAGCCTGCTTCTTGACCATCAACTCTTCATTTCTTCAGGCATGGTGTTAAACAATCTGGTCTTAAAGGCAACTGCTCTCTCTCCACTCTTCATAGCTGCCTTCACTTCCTCTGCACTTTACGATTCTCTAACTTTCCTCACTCAGCATACCCGGGACATCTTTCCCTTTTCTGAATTCACTTACGATTGAGATGAATAGTCACACAAATAGGGTGGCATTGGCAGCATTTGACAAATCAGAAAGGGAGGAGGGAGGTCCACGGATCATATGACTTTTCTTCCACAGAAAACCATCACTGTGAGTGCCACCTACTCCAGACATGACATCAAAGGGTAATAAAAAAATCTCTAAAGAGCATAAAAATATACCAGCAAAATCCAACACTGCTGTAAATGCAAATTCATCAGCTTAAATACAGTTAATAATTTTGTCACTGAGTGAGCTCCCAGTGCTGTTGATTATTTCTAAGGTGACAGCAGCACATTAGATCTCTGATACTTTAAACTGGATCCATTTAAACATTAAAGCGTGCTGTCCCACAGCTCTATAGAGAAGACGTGGACATCGCTGCAGTTTGTCGCAGATCAAAGTGCGATGAATGTGATTGGTTGAACGGGTTTCCTTTGTGTGTTTCCAGGAGTGTAAAACAAACTAATCAGCCGGTTAGAATGAAGCAGAACAACATTTATAATATTTTTATGTTATTACGAACATTCCCGCGACAAAGAAACATTACACGACATTTATAAAATAAAATAAAATAAAAAGTACAGAAGTAGTACAGAAGAGTCAGGGCTAACCTGCAGTTACTTGGACAAACCAAAATCAGGTACGGGAGAGTCCGCTCGCTACTACTTCTTTCTCTATCTTTACCTCAACTTTCAGCACTTGTTTTCTCAGCTCCAAAATTTCTCGCCCGAACAGGGACTTGAACCCTGGACCCTCAGATTAAAAGTCTGATGCTCTACCGACTGAGCTATCCGGGCTCTGACGTGTGTTTAGCTAAAATGTAGATTTTACCAGGATGTAGTGTATTTAGCTATTTTTTTCATGTCCGCTGTTTATGTTTTCATTCAGTCCAAAAGACCTCCTGGGGTAAAATATTATTTTCATTATTATTAATATTATTATTATTGTTTTAATTTAGACCAAACTCTTCACAAATATGCATGTCCTGTAAATAACCCACTAAAATTAATACTAAAAATACAAAAACCAGTTTAAAGTTTAGCCCTGTTATACAATTGCTTATGTTCTGTCATGCATATGATGTCTTAAAAGATGCATATAAAATGTAGCTAGTTTGCAATAATGACTGACGTCATTAGTGCTGCCTGAGAGGAGCAGCCAATCAGGAGCAAGTTGCTTTAAATGGAAGGAAAGAGATTATTTTGAACTGTGAATCAGCAAAGCTAGTCCACTTTAAGTAAAAATAAATACACTTAAGAGTATCAAACCCAAAATTTGACCAAAAACATACCAGCTGTATTATTTTACCCCAACTGTCTGAGGCAGAGCTATTACTATTTTATCACTCTGTTTCAAGGCAACAGACCCGGGTCTTAAATAGAGCCACTGGATAAATCAAAGGGAAAGGAAGAAAATAAGTAATCAGATCAGTATTTATTTTCAGTTACATTTGACATTTTATTGTGAAAATTTTCTTTATTAGTTATATGAATGAAAATAGAGAAGCTGAGAAAATTAAAGGGGAAGTCGCTCTTTAATGGAGCTGCTGTCTTCCATCACGTTGCTTTGGCACTGACTGAACCTATTAAGGCTATTAGCTCACTTTTAATCTCAATATTTATGCTCTTATTGTGAAAGTATGATGAATAATAAATGAAACATTATATGCGTCATCACAGTCACCACCTTGAGAGCTAATGCTTTCTTACAGTCTATGCTTCATGTATCTCCAGCAGTCCTTTGCCCTTTGTTTTCTCTCCTCTGTAACAAGCAACAGATGTTCGGATGCTCTGCTGTGGCCTCCCTGTAACTCTACCCTTGGTGTTGTTTCTTGGGTCTCAGCAGTTGGATTCTTTCCATCTGCCTGTTCTTTCTCTTCTAGGACAGAAACTGCTCTCAGGTCTTTAAATCTTTTAGGCCACTGTGGTGTCAGAGTTCAACAGACCGGTCACAGACATCAGCAGAGAGTCTGGGCACTTGCAGATTATTGAGATTTGATCTATCTGACATTTTTGTAGTGCTAATAACAAGAATTTTTATTTCTGAGTATAGATTAGAGACCATTTTGGTGAAGTAGTTCAACAGTGAAGCCCAGTGGTACCCAACAAAGGAGATAAATACAATCCTGAATGAAAAGTTTGATAGTTCAAGTCTGCATTTGTGCTGAAAGCGTCCCACATGTGGTGGTTTAGGTGCCCTTTGTTATGTGTCTGCTAGGCAAAGAAGTTTGGGTAGCACTGGCTAAACCATCTTTTTTAAACGCTGAGATAACATACGAAACACCCAGAGGTCAGGTTCTGCACATGCGCACAACAAAGAGGAGAAAACCTTATTCTTATGGAAATGAGGAAAGTGTATTTCCATAAGAATACATTTTTTGCTTTGTGTGTGTGTGTTCCTTGTCTACTGCACAACTTAATGCTGGTATTGTCTGTTGCTCTAAATTGTGGACCTTTACCACTGCAGAACATAAATCTCCCCATCATGTGTAAGTACAGCACTTAAATTTCTTCAGTCTGGGGGAAAATCTTAAATGGACCCTCTCTAATATATAAGTACTCTTTTCAGAATGAGTGTTTGTTGTCTCTCATATTATATATATATTTTTTCTTACTGCTGAACTTCACAACACCAGGCAAGGATTTTTTTTTTTAAATGTTTTAATCTTCTGGGAGCTTGCATTATTTGTAGCCTCAGTTTCCTGTTCTTAGTTGACAGGAGTGGCAGTCTGCTTCTAGGTTCGGTATGTTATGTATTCAGAGATGTTCTTCTGCATACGTTGGTTTTAACAAGTGGTTATTTAAGTTACCATTGCCTTCTTATCAGCAGCTCAAAGAGTGGCTGTTTTTCCTCAGCCAGGCATTTTCTCATACAGAACCAATACATATTTCCTCTTTCCCCAGAGATGGCTGTGTGGAAAAAACCCAGTAGATGAACAGTTTATGAAATCCTGAGACCAGCCAGTCTGGCACCAACAACCACACCACAATCAAAATCTGTTAAACTACCTTTCCTGACAATGCCCACCATGTGGTTGGCTGATTAGATATTTGCGTTAGTGAGTTAGTATATATTTCATTCATGTATGTATTTTCTTGTGTTTTTCTTTCTTGCAAGCAACCTCTAAAATGCTACCTTGAGTTAGCAAGGGTGCAGTACCACTCTCCCTCCATTAGATGTCGCCACAGTTTTGGACAGACTGCTCTATTTTTCCTTCTTCGGTGTTTGTTGTTCTCAAACACGGAACTTTCATAATAGTACATCTACAGCAAGCTGTGGACTAAGAAGTTAGAGAATAAGTTAAAGTGGTTATTTCTTATATAAAAAAAAAGTTACCTCCAGCTTCAACATGGTTAATCTGGGGCTCACCAAAGTGGACGACGCGTTGGTGGCCAAACATCCGGTGGGTTTTGTGTCTGTTTTTATGCGTTTTTATTACCTGTGCACTCTGGAGGACACTGTCCCTCTGCACACTTGGAATAAACCAGCAGCTGCTCACATTGACACATTTACCATAGATACAACAGAAATGTGTAACACAGGTGAGAGCTGTTTTTATTTGTTGTCTCTCAGGGTTTGGAGAGCTACGCCGCCTGTCAGTCTCATGCTTTCATGAAGGGGTCTGGGACCTTTGTGCTGGGTAATACTTTTATTTATTTATTTATTAAAAGTCACACACTTAAAATAAGAAATATTTCAGTCCATGTTACAATCTTTGACTTTGTCCTATTTGTACATTCTTAATGCTTTCATGCTTTCATCCAAATTCTTGTTGGCTGTGTTGCTCTAACTTTGACCCAGTCAGTGCTGCTGTTTTTATGTGTAATTCTGAACCTCAGTTGTTATAATTTTTTTTTCTGCATTGTGTTGAGATTTTTAATGAAAATCGAGACACTGAAGTAAGGTCAAAGTGAATGTAGGCAAACAATATAGATGTCAGGATTTGCAGACAGAATATACCACAAGAGGGAGCTGTATTCTGTAAATGTTTGTGGTATCACCCACAATGATCACACTGATCTCAGCACAGGGAGAAAATGATTGTATTATTAAAGTTAAAATAACTATTGTTGTTATTATATCTATTTATGTTTTTGATGTTACTCTTTAGCATCCTGGACTGTTTTTGTTTTTATGCCAGCAGTTCATAATGTAAATGATTTAATGAAGAAATGATAACAGAAATGTACTGAAGGATACCCAAACATAGCTCTGACAATATACTCACCGATCACTTTGTAATGTACATTGATTTAACTGTTTCTTAATGCAAATATCTAATCAGCCAATCCACATGGCAGCAACTCAGTGCATTTAGGCATGTAGACATGGTCAGGACGACCTGCTGGAGTTCAAACTGAGCATCAGTGTGGGGAAGAAAGGTGAAGCTGCTGTCCTAGTAAAAAAAATTGTAATAACCATCTCTATGATTGATAAAGGATAGTGTGAAAAAGACAAAATATCCCATGATCAGCACTTTTCTGGTTGAAAATACCTTGTTGATGTCAGAGGTTGGAGGAGAATGGCCAGCATGCTTTGAGTTGATGGGAAGTCTAGAGTAACTCACTGCTTCAGTAACTGAACATGTCCGTTCCTCTGTGACCACAGTGTAACCATCTTCTAATGGCTGTCACAAAGGTCAGATCATCTTGAACTGGTTTCAAGCACAAGGACATAGGACAAAGAAATAAGCCATTTTTGAAGGCCTTGTACTAATAAAGTGTCCAGTGAGAGGATTTATGCCTTTTTTGTCCAAGGGAAACTAGTACACCTACCACCCTCCAAACAAAAGCTTGACTGTTTGGCATTTTCAGTTTTATTCAGAGCCAACAAGAGACAAGAAAGTGAAAGAAAGTGTGGGAATGACAGTGAATGTCCAGTCAGCTGGGAATCAAATCCAGTGCCCACTGCTGATGGCATTTACCCGTCTGTGTCCTACCCACTCAGCTGTCAGGTCATCTGTCATTTTAGGTTTAACCTAGAAATTAGTTTAATTGAAAAAAACAAAACAAAAAAACCAACCAGCAGCAATAAGAAAATCTGCACAGTTACAAGTGTAAATGTTTCTCCCTGGTTTTAGATGTGACAGTGAGTTGTGTTGTTGGTGCAGGTGTTGCAGGTTTTTTTGCTATTCAGAAGGCCCTACAGAGGAAGCTTCCTTATCCCCTTCAGTGGAACCTGCTCATTTCAATAGGTGAGGAGTAAAATATTTGGATTGTGCTATTAAAAATACATAAAGAAATGTATTTAGCTCTCAAATGTAGGTCTTACATCAGTGCTGCCACTGAAACCACTGTCTCTCCCCTGTCTGCTCTCAGTGGCATCATCAGTGGGCAGTTACGCAGTGACTCGCTGGGAAACGCAGAAATGCTCAGACCTCTGGTTGCTCCTAGAAACAGGCAAAGTCCCAGACAGGTCACCACCTCCAGGTGAGCACAGTGCAGAACTGTATGAAATGTGAATTTAATGTTGTGTTAACTGTTGTCTTGGATATAAGATTGAAGAGTCAACCTATTGAGATATATAGATTTATGATCAGAAAAGTTATCGGCGCGTATCATTTCATCACTTATGATTCACCAAATGAAGACCGTATGCTTCATCTCTACCTTTGTCTTTACTGTCTTTCAGTACCCCAACAAGAGGAACCAACAGCACCACAGAAGACAAAATATGGTGACGTGATTGAATGAAGAAGTTTCAAACACATTTTTATTATCTACAATATAAAGATTATAAATATGTAAAGAGAAAGAGCTCAGTGGTGCTCTGCACATTTTGCATGGCCCACATGATTGTGTATTATATTTATTCTGGTTGTGGAGCTCTTAAATTTCATAACAGTATCAATGTGTGGATTAAAAAAAACAAACCCTGGGTTTTCCTGACTCAGAGGTCAGGAATTAGTTGTGGATTTTTAGTAGGAATTAGATGTAATGCTTGTAATCCGGTGTTGTTGTTATTAACAGGGTTCGTACGGGTGCTTGAAACCTTGAAAATGCTTGAATTTTAATGTTGTCTTTTCAAGGTTTGAAAAGTGCTTGAATTTCAGATGTGGTGCTTAAAAGTGCTTGAAAGTGTAACTGTATTTCATTCACCACACATAACTATCTGATTGAATAGTTTTCTTATCAGATAGAGAAATAAAATGAGTCGCAAAATGTAAAAGCAAAATTTCGCCGTCTGGGCTGCCTCGTGTCTGTTTCAACGTGTGACCCCGCCCCTCCGTCGGACAGTCGGGGATGAGTGCGCTAACATACCTGTAGGTTGCTGTTTTAATGAGTGTTTGATGGAACAAATGGCGGAGTTTGCGCTCTCCGGTCGCATGATAGGTGAGTCCTAGTAAATAATATTCCAGTGCGTGTACGTTACACATGCTATTTTCATTTTTAAAAAAATTATGATTATTATTTTGCCAGCTGTCAAGCTCGCTGGAGAAATGATTGAAATGCACTGAGTGTGATGCAGTATGGCAGCGCTATTATGGAAT